GTACGTTCTTTTAGGTAAGGTTCACATCCCTTCATGATCTTTAAGTGCTCTGGACTGAGCCCCATCCACATGACATATAAGATCCACAGTGCCATTAAAGGATAAATGCAATCCCATTGTAAAATCCCCTAACAAGATTATCTTCAACTCAGTCATCTCCCCTGCCAAGGATTCAATTTACATGTCTCCATGTTGTTCATAGGTGTTTTCAGACAGGTTTTTGGATGTGTGTAGTTACCCTGAATCATTCCTGGAATTTTACACAATGTCCACATATTATTGCTCTTCCTTCTGGTTCTTTTCCCCTTACAACTGATAGGTAAAGACTAGTCATGTTTGACTCATCTCCATCTCCATTTCTAAGAGCTGGCATTGTCCGTAGACATCTCCAAGGTCACGTGGCTGGCATGACTGCATGGAGTGTCATTACCTTTCCACCGGAGCGGTACCTATTGATCTACTCACATTTGCATGTTTTTGAACTTCTAAGTTGGCAGAAGCTGGGGCTAACAGTGGGAGTTCACGCCGCTCCTCGGATTTGAATCTGCAACCTTTCAGTCAGCAACTTCAGCAACTCAGTGCTTTAACTCAATGCACCACTGGGGGCTCAACAACTGATAAACATGGTGTTTCTGGTACTGTAGGCAAAGTATTACCAGCATAACTTGGTAATGAATACAGAAGACATTGGCTGCAATTGAGTAGATTTGTATCTTCATAAGTGGAGTTACATTTGTGAGAAATAGAACTGAGCAGTTTCATAGTGCCTTTGTTTGGCAAGACCCTATGAAACATTAATATGAAGGAGAATGAAAGAAGAGACCATTGTGCATTGGGACTGAGGTACAATGGACCAATGTGCATCAGCAGTCCTTAGTTGTTTTCTGGATAGACCCCATTTAGGATACTGTATGTGTATCAAGACACTCTAGGAAGTGCTGATGCACATTGATACAGTCTAATGTATATTAGGGCACTATTGCTGGTTCCCTGAATATATCCTATATGCTCATGTATAATTCTAGAAATTTTAGGCAAAAATTACCCCGAAAAACTGGGTTGACTTATTCTTGACTCAGAGTGAGTACAAAACTGTACCATAACTTCTATCAGAAAAGGAACCATTCTTTGCTCTGAGTGGAGTAGCAAAAGGCATTCCTGGGTGAACGTAAAAGAAGCACAGACCCCCCTCTTTTGTCTCTGCCATTTTCTCTGCTACCCCTGGCTTTTTTTTAATGCCTGGGTATAGAAATGGTAGTGGCAGCCAGGGATGGCTGACCCTCTGAATCAAATTAATGCTTTCTTCTCTCCATGGAATGACCCCCAACTTATCCATGGGTAATATCAAAATTCATACTTTTGGCCCCCCAAATCTGCCTTCAATTTATATATGAGGTCGGTTTATACTTGGATATATAATTTAAATCTTTGCAATTCACCAGGAGAGTTTCACAGTACTTCTGTCATGTAGCTAAGCATGCAGAAAATTATGCCACATGGACTATAATTTAAAACCTTGTGGTTAAAAAAAAATTAAAAGACAGTAGAAAATCACTGTGTACCTCCCTGATCCTACTACATACACAAACTCACAGTAAAAAGAGAAACACCAAGCAGAGGAAACTTTTCCAAGGTTCTCTCCAACTACATTGGGTTGAGGAAGGCATTAAATTAATGCATTAGAACAAAGCAACTGGAGATTTGCCAGTGATTCTTCTGCTCTGAGTGCTTGTTAACTATGCCAGTCACATACAATCTGCCCCACTCCATTCTGGCTCTAGGTTGAAGTTCACTGCTATGTGTGCTATGAGTTATAGTGAAGTATCACAGTGTGTCATTGTTTCATATTATGTGTTGTGTGTGTGCTTGATTTCTATTTTTGCCCACCTCCTCCAAAATATGAATTTAATTTGTTGCAGTTCTTACCTTTTGCCTCAAGACTTACTTTTATTAGATAACCTAACTCACCATTAATTTTAGTTTGTGTGCACACACTAAAAAGAAAAAGAAAATTAGTATAAACCAACTCATTTGAGCCCCTTTCTTACAGTTTTAAAAACATCTTCTGGCACAGAAACTGCTGGTCCTGCTTTTCTGAAATTTTCTGGGGTATGTTTTAGACAGTGCTATTATGTCTGCAGATTTTAATTAAATAATCTTCACTTTTAAAATACTTATCTCTACCCTTCTCTGAACTTCTCAGAAATTTGGCAGTCTTCATCCTCTTAAAATGGCCTTCTGAGCCCATACATTTCATTTGATTTTGCTAAAATCCTCTTGTGATGCTCTAGAAAAGACTCATTGAGTCAATGGGTTTCACCTAGATGTTGAAACGCCATTCAACAGCAGATTGAATTAACCTACTACATCTGAAACTAACCAATAGGATTCAAGCTGTAGACACTAGTTGATTTCCCCATAATTATCAATGGGAAAATAAACTAAGATTTGGACTTTCCAAAAGGAGATTGTTCTCTGGACTCAGGATATTGTGCCTCTGCTACATATAGTTATACAATGTTGACTGTGATATTGAGTGCTGGAGTAGGATTTGAACCAAAACTTGGTTCGGAACCTGCAATAGTGATATGCATTTAATGTTCCATACAGATGGAAACATGCCATGCCTCCTTATCACCACCATCTCAAACCCTCTTTTTATCTGCTTCATAGCCCATCCCCAACATGCCCATTTATGGGTGAATGGAGAATGGAGAGCTGGATGGAAGACATTTTCTGGGAAGAACAATGTCCTGACAGTGTCGGATTTACTACTGTGCTTAGGTGTGCTGTGGGCTGGGGAGGGGGTGGAGAGGTCATCTTCCTGCCATTTTTTATTTACAGTGGATTTTGCTTATGTGGTAAAATTCTAAATTTGACTGTTTCAGAGTGACTCCAGACATAATGATAGAGTTGATAGCCTATGGGAGTATGCCACAAAGCAGGCAGTGTAGACTTATTAGATGTATATTTTCCAGGGCCCAAATAAGGGGCCTCATAACTTAACTAACACAGGGCCTCATTCACCACTGAATCCACCACTGGGTGTCCATGCTGTGATTCCAGTTATAGTAGTATAGCTAAATGCTTTGACATTTTTCTTCTCCACAGTGAATGAACATGGTGTGGCAGGGACTGTAGCTGCTAAAAGGTGGATTTGGGGTGGTGATCATTGCACTTTCAAGTAGAGGATTATGAGCTCTGCAACTATAAAATATGAATTACACAGATATAAGCTGAATTTACTAATAGGATGCCAGCAACTTAAAAAAAATATCACTATAATCTGGGATATTGTCCGCATTCATGAAATTGATGAATTAGTTATATCTTAGCAATAGCCATTTTCTCCCTACAGTTTCCCCACCACCTCCTACAATGGCATGTCTCATAGATGATCAAGTGGAGGAAAGCTAGTATGACCTTGCCTGTACACATTAGAACCAGCAGCCATCTTTCTGATCATAGCTGAATATTTTGCAGTAGTCACCATCATAAAGACGACTGACATTTCTTGTTGTTCACCACAGTCTTTGTATGGGGGTAATCAAGGCATCTGTTGCCATTCCTCCCACAGCTGCTGAAAGCTGTATGGGAATTCTTCCATTAGCAGACCTTTTTTGGGGATAGGATCCAGGATTGGGGGAACATTTATGCAACTCAGAAAAGCTATAGGGACTGTAGCTTTTGAGCCAAATATAAATCCGCTGCCCTGTGTTGATGGATCCATTGGCCACCCTCCCTATATATTTCTATCTATCTATCTATCTATCTATCTATCTATCTATCTATCTATCTATCTATCTATCTATCTATCTATCTATCTATCCATCCATCCATCCATCCATCTATTGGAAGCAAGTATTAAGTCTTTGTTTGTTTTTCAAAGTTGTGGATTGTTTTAAACTCATGCAAGCCAAGATGACTAAACTGATACCGTTGTACTTATCATGAGAAGACATGACTCACCAAAAAAAGAAGAAAAGAAAAAAGAAAAGAGGAAGACTGCATTACAGATGGTTAGACTCAAGCAAGGAACCCATGGCCCTGAAACTTTAAGATCTCTCATTTATAGGGTCGCCATAGGTCAAAGTCAACTTGATGGCAGTTAGCAACAAATTCAAAGTTGAGAGATAAACCATGTACAATAGGTAAAGGTTTCCTTTGATATTAAGTCTAGTCGTGTCCAACTCAGGGGGGTGGTGCTCATCTCCATTTCTAAGTTGAAGAGCCAGTGTTGTCCCTAGACACCTCCAAGGTCATGTACATTATTTCCATGTATGTATAATCCAACATGACTACATGGAGTGCTGTTATAATAGAAACAATACAATAGAAACACAATTTATCAATATAAATGAGCATCGTATACATTTTGAGTTTTGGTAGATATTAAAGAATGATAATTTTATATAGATGTTTTTTTCTAGTCATAGCATTCTTGATGAATATTTAGTATCTGGGGCCCCAGTGTGTCATTTTTAGTTTTGAAAAGAACAAACTGAGTGAACTGGAGTTGTGCTAACATGAGATCCATTAACACGAAATCTCTCTTTTGAAGTGAACGTGTCTAAGTGTGGGCTTTCAGAATGGGGAAATAGGGGCTAGGGCAAAGTCCTTACTCTTACAAAAATTAGTACAGAGTTGATATAGTTCTTAAAGTGCCCCATTGACCACTATACATGAGGACCATACTCCTTCCCCCCCCCTTTCATATGGTGAGGGGCATCCTTGCAATGGGAGCCTCTTAGGATCAGTCATTTTCTTAGATGATGCAAACCTTCACCTCAAACATTTTGTTTTAAAGGCTGAGACTGGTTGATGGAATATCCATTGCTAAGAATACCCTGATCTGGGCCATTCAGATATTGTTGTCCATAATGATAATTCTCAGTACATTATTTCCATGTATGTATAATCCAGACAATGTGGCACATCCTCAAAGATCTTGGCATCTGATGACTGACTGATAATATTGTTGACAAATAATAGCAGACAAATAAGAATTTCAGGAATTTATTGAAAAGTTTTACTTGCAACAATTTACAAAGCAAAATTTTGTGAATTTGGTGGCATGCAGTTGAAACACTAACTAGCACTTCATTTTCTTTCCATGACTTTCATTTCAGATGTAGTCAGCTGAAGACAGCTCTTCATTTCATCCCGAAGTATAAAAAACTCAAGAGATCCAAAAATTCTATGCCTTTTCGTATTGGCGAACAGAAACAATATCACCAAAGGTGAGGGTCTGCAAAATGATCAAAAATAGAACAATTAGTATATGTACCATTGAATGCAGGAAATGTTGTGATTCTGAGTCTCCAATGAATCATTGTTGCAGAATTAAGAAATTGTTGGGGGGAAGTGAAACTGGTGGTTACAAAACATACAATATCATGCCAGTAAGGAAGGACTGCTAACATAGCAAACATTTCTAGTTGAAAATATACTAAGTATCTACCATCCTAAGTTCTGCTTTACAGTCTTCAGCATGTGTTGGCTCATAGTAGCTTGGAGTTTGTATATCTAGTCTGATAAATCTTAAAAAAAAACTATCATAAGAATGAAGATAGACATAATATATTAGTAGATTACAAAAGATCATTAATGTACAATATAATCTCAATCTGCAGTTATCTTATATATGATCATGCCAACAATGTACGCTCTGGCTCAAGTGCCCTGCCAGCTCTGAAGCTCTTCTCTAGTATTAAAAACATGTTCAAGCCATCTATGTACTTTTATATCTGTGTGTTTCTAAAATTGCAGAATTAAAATAATACTCGACTTGCAAAATGCTTGGAAAACTGTTAGAGATGTGTTGTTGACATCATTCATGCTGGCCATTAACTTTCCTTTAGTTCAAATCAAATCATACTGAAAACCAATGTTGGTATTTCAAAGTTTGTCCCAGAACAAAAAGGAAGGAAGGAAGGAAGGAAGGAAGGAAGGAAGGAAGGAAGGAAGGAAGGAAGATGAATTCGCACAATGTTAATTTTTCATTGTTTTATTCTTGTATATCTAAAAGGCAAAGGTTTTCCTCCGACATAAAGTCCAGTCATGTCTGACTCTGGGGGTGATACTCATCTCCATTTCTAAGCCAAAGAGCCAGCATTGTCCTTAAACACCTCCAACATCATGTGGCCAGTATGACTGCATGGAGCACAGTTACCTTCCTGCCGAAATGGTACCTATTGATCTACTCACATTTGCATGTTTTCCAACTGCTAGGTTGGCAGAAGCTGGGGCTGACAGTGGAAGCTCACACCGCTGCCCTGATTCAAACCTGTGACCTTTTGGTCAATGAGCTCAGCAGCTCAGCGGTTTAACCCATTGCGCCACTGGGGGCTTCTTTATTCTTGTATACATTGTACAATGTCTTTTTTTCCTTTCATATAATATATTCTTATCAAAGGATTAAAATTCCTCCTAGCATTCTGGTAGTATAGGTTTAAAGTTTAGTGCGTTACCCATGAGAGAAAAGCATACATCCTTCTTATCTATTGCTGCTGTTGATTTCACACCAATAAGACCATTATGAATTTTGATGCTGACTAAAGTATGCAGGGTATATCTATGGGGAATGTTGCATCTCCTGCGATTTATAGACTGACTGTGGGTTGTAATCATGAATGGAAGTCAAGTGACATGATAAAGGTCAATGCTGTACACTCAGAGACAATCAGTCCAGAAGGTGCAAATTAGGGGAGAAGTGCCCTTCAACATCTATTGAATTATCAACATGACATAATTTGAAACAATTAAATGCAAATTTTAGCTCTGATAGAAGAGAGGCAACAAATTACAAATTTATTGGAATCTAAGGAGAGAAAATATGCAGAAGAAGAATTTTTAGCTTCTCAGGAATATGTTGCTAAATTTTATTTTGATGCCTAAAGAAGAGAGGGGTGACTGTTGTGCAAATATAAGACTTGTGGGGCAGTTTGAGATTGCTGACAGGGGAATGGCATTAAAACATTCCTAAAATAAAATTCATTAGAATATAGTTTAATTGAAACATTCCCAGCTAAAATGGATAATTATCAGATTTTGTACTGCAACTCCTCGGTTAAAATTATTGATCTAACTCAAGATCTAACTCTAGCTCAAATAGACTGGCTGAATCAATGGGAACTTGGTAAATCAATACTTACACAACTTCCTTGATTCTAGCAGGAACTGAGACTGGCACTTGGAGTTACACTTTCTTACTATAAAACATGTTCTTCAGACTTTTTAAATGTTCAGTGCAGTCAAAATATTTGAGTCATAATAAGCTGAGGATTTAAAGATATGTGTCTGTAAGAAACTATAGTTTACTCACCATGACCATTTTTCCATCTTTAATTTCTCTAACAAAGTTTGTTTCTTTGCCATCCCACTTCTGCACATGGACTAATTTGTCTCCATCCATGGACACCACAGACTGTGAGCACAAAAACACACACACCAGAGACTTCACATCAGATTGTAGGCCATGTCAAAGAAAATTATATAAATAATTCTGAGTACAATCTAGGGAATTGATAATTTTTCTTTAAATCTCTGAAATATGAAATGTTTGGCTTACTAAACCAGTAAATTTGTTAGATATATATTTAAAACAGGGAAACTCTAAAAGCTCATATAAACACCTCAGAGCTTTGAATAGTTACATTTTGTACTACAGCTCCTAGAATCTCCCAACTGACATAGTTGGTTGGGGAGTGTCTATGAGATGTGCACAAAAAGGCACTAAATTTATTCTTATTTGTGTTTCTAGAGAAAATAAAATTACATTTATAATGTATGTGATTTGATGTTTGACCTCATGCAGGGACATTTAAAACATTTTTAGTAAATTGGATTCCATGCTTAGGATAAATCTATTAACTTCTAGAGAGCATCTGCACTACAGAGTTATAGCATTATAATTCCAGGTAAATTATCATGGCTCCACCCTTTGAAATTATGGATTTGAAGTTTTGTGAGGAACTTAAAATTCTAACCTGTAAAGTTCTAGATTTCAGGGGACCACAGTACAGTTCTCTAGTAAATAATACTAAGTACTTCATCAGACTACACATCCCAGGATTCTATAGGTGGAACCATGGCAATTAAAGTGCAACTGTTTGTTGCAGACACATTCAAAGTCATGCAGCTAAATAGTCATGTGAAGCTTCTCAAACACAAGATCAGAAAAGAACTGATACCTGCGATTACTCAAAAAATATGACACACTTCCAGCAATAATAATGAGACCAAGCATATATCTAAGTTGAACTATAGATATGCCTTCCACACAGGCCTTTGATCTACAGAGAGGGTTAAAATGTGGCAATTGTGAGAGGATTTAGAGAAGATAGGAAAAACACAGAATAAATAATTGGCATTTATATGTTCAAAGCATTTGTTTAGAACTGAGTCCCATTGGACTAAATAGCTCTCCAAGGACTCTCAGATAAGAATTCTGCCTCCCGTCATGGTATTTTTCTTCAGTCTCCTAAGTTATAACTTCAAGCACCAGGGTCCATGGTATCTATAGAGATTTGCTTCCATGACCCCCACAGATACAAAAATCCATGGATACTGAAGTCCCATTATATACAATGGCATGGTCAAATGGCAAATCAAAGTTTGCCATGGTTGGTTGGTTGAATCCGAGGGTGCAGAATCTGTGGGTATGAAGGACCGGTTGTACAGGCATCCAAAGAGAATGAGGCAGCAAAGCTACTAAAACAATGAAAACACAGCAAACACTATTTTTCAAATTCTCTGCAATGCTTGAATTTTGAGGACATAAGGAAAATGTCCTTGAGGAGCAGAATTTTAATAAGAGGGGAAACCCTAATTTTGCCCCTCCCAATAGCTATATCTTGCAGTTGCATTCAATATCACAACTCAAAGAGTGGCTAAAACAATCCACAAAGAAAATAAATCTCTCTTTATTTTATTATTTGAACATTCTGAGTAAACTGTCATCACTTATTATCAGTCAATGTTTCCATTACAAATAACACAAAATAATTTCCTTCCTGTGAATGATTTAAAAGAAAGATGAATTTAAAATAAAGACAAAAGAACTCTTGCAATTGTATGAACCATTTCTTCCTTACTTTGCAATTCCTATCATCTGCTGTACATTCATCAAACTCCTCTCCCAGTTTGAAACTGATTTCTGTGTTCTTGAAAGTGCTCTGGGTCTTTATCACCACTTTGTCTCCCTCCTGGCTGATGATCACCGTTGGTTTGGTGACATTTCCCACTTGGCGAGTAGCATAGCCAACACCTTAAAAAACATGTTAACACTTTTTAGAAAGTATATAACAGATCCTGAATTCTAAAGATAAAATAAATATTTCTTCAAATGTTTCCACTAAGAAACAATGTTTTCTTCTGATTATTCATTTCATTTGTATCTCATTATTCCACAGGTATGTTCAAGATATCCAAGAAAATCAATACTGTAGCAAATAGGACACCGAGTTAAATCAAAATGAGTGTAACAAAGATTGCACTGCAGTCTGTTGTTTGGTTATTTATTTATTTACCACATTTATATACCACCTCTCTCAGCCCAGAGGCAACTCATTATACAGCATATGGGACAATATCCTTAACTTACTTGGAAGTAAACCTACAAACTATTTGTTATTGTTTTGAGTTTTGAAGACCATTCTAACATCTAGCAACCCTAGGGCAAACCTATCATGGGATTTTCTTGGCAATATTTTTTCAGCGGCATTTTTCTTTGTTTTGGCTGAGAGAGTGTGACTTGCCCACAATCACTCAGTGAGTTTTCTTGGCTGAACAGAGATTTGAACTCTGGTTTCCAGAGTTGTAATCCAATTCTCAAATCACTACACTACATCGGCTATCTCTGCAATTAATTTTCCACATTTTAAATAATATTAAGCTTTGCTATATATATAGACATTCCTTGTCTTCTGATACTGCTTACTTAACTTACCAAATTGCAATAATGAAGATAAAGGGGTGCCAGTGCTGCATATACTTGCCTCATCTACATTGGTAGTACCGTTTAGCTTACATAGATGACATGTTTGCTCTGTCCAGTCCAAATTTAGTTTTCTTAATGTCACATATGTCCATTATTTTCCATATGTAATTGTGCTGACATTTACAGACTGGTACAGCACACTTTCTCCTTCCTCTCAGCCAGTTTCTACATTTGGCTACAAAATCCTTTTCCTATGCAAATTCTGTCTGCTACAGCGAGAGAGCACTTCCTTTTCATTTTAGTTATACTGAGGTACTTAAAAGTGACAAGCCCTGCGGTTAAGTCATTTTCAACTGAATATTTTAATGGAAATTTAAAGGAAGTGTGTGCTTAGGCTCTTAGTGTTAGCACACACTGAGTCCTGAAAATATTTGTTTAATTTGTACTAACTTATGCCATGAATATACTCATAAGTACATTCATAGTTCTATCCTAAATATATTCACTTCAAAACCAGCTTCTTGACTATAATAAAACTTAATTTCTAGTATGCATGTCCAGGGTTCCCAGTTCTGAGTAAGTCATACAACTTTTACTAAACGGATGGGAGACTTCCAATGAGTATCAAGTGCATAGTGGAGAATAGAGTTCAAATCCCTATTTAGCCATGAAAACCTACTGGGTGACCCTGAGCAAATCATACACTCATGATAGGTTTGCCTTAGGGTTGCCATACGTTGGAAATGACTTGAAAGCACACAATAAGAACAATAGTCAAAACCACTTCTGTGTATTCCTTGCCTAAGAAAATCCCAGGCAATTCATGGGGTGCTGTAAATAGAAATGCAGCATGAAGGTGCACACACAAATTCTTCTCATCTTTCTCTGTACATCAACATAAATCCAAGCAGATTGGCTACTTATGGGTAAAAATTAATTCATAAATATTGTATCTACTCATTCATGTTTGAATGGTTTAGTTTTAAAAAGTCAGTCTGCCCTTGCTGAAACCAGTTACTCCTTTGCAAAATCTCAAACTCTATGGCCCTTAAAACTACTAAAGAGAAATGATCAAGGTTCTACCAATGAAAGAATGATTTTATGCAGCCTTTTCTATACATACCCAGTGCCTTCATGTATTCATCAAAGTTTTGGCTGTCAATCAGCTTCCAAGTAGCACAGAATGCCTCAACCATTTTAGCTGTTGGAGAAGACAAATAGTAGGTCCGAAACTGGTGGGAGACTCCTAAGGCTGTGTTAAAATCCTTCACCTTCACTCCAGCAAAATCCCTTCTTGAGTGATAGAAGAGGCATGTAACCCTGGAAATAACTGAAGTTACAGACTCCTCCCAGGGCCTCCTATTGCTTCTTTGAGTCAAAAGAAGAGAGATTTGTGGGGGGAGAGGAAGGTTTTCGGTTTGCTGATTGGATCAGGCCACCAGGTCAACTGAGTTGGTTGGTCTCCCCATTATGTCCAAAATTTAGGGGAGGGAGAAGGGGGAGGGAGAAGGGAGATGTGAAAATGTGTGAGGGTCTTTTGAGTCCTGTTTGAAAACTTGGCAAAGGGACATTGCCGCCTCAAAGGGAGACACACACAATAAGACATTCAGACTTGTTTCCGCCAAAAGCTCAACACTGGTGACACTTTCTAAAAGACACTGAACCCTTATCCTCCAACTTAGACAAGTGTTAACCCTCTGTCTCTCAAAGCAGAAGAGTATACAAGAAAAAAGAGAGGGGAGACAGAGTATTCCCACCCCCACCACCAAAAGGAGGGTGAGAAAGATCAATTGTTAGTTATGCACACTGAATCTTTGATGTTTATTGAGACACTACTTCCCCATGGAATATGGAGGCTGATTTTTTAAGAAAGAAGGGTATTGTATTAAATAAAATGGGACACTGAATGTGGTTGCACACAATATAGTGGTTTCTATCACTGTGAACAGAAACAGGCTCAAAGGTTAGCAATTTGTTAGCAGTGACTGCCTTCGTCTTAGATAGACAGTAACTAGCCAAATAGAAGATACGTGATGGGATAACAGTATGCAGCAGACTGTTCATTCCAGTCCCATCTCTTAGATACATCCTGTGAATGCTGACAGAGCTTTCAATTATAAATCTACAAGTTTCTCCTCAAATACTCAAAGGAAATTAAGAGAACCAGATAAATGTGGCCATTGTCCCAGTGTGACACACTGCACTTATAGGTAATTAATATCTTGGTTTGAAAAACATAAGTTGTTGTGTGGTATGTCATTTCCATGTTTTGATTTTATCCCTCAGTCTCGAAATCAAAATACTGGATATTCCACTAGTTCTCTACTCTATATCATCTTTGTTCCAAACACTTAGAACTGGCTAAATGTAATGTTATTATAGACTGCTCCATTTGAAATACCTTCCTTGATGCTGAAGCCAATGTCATACATTATTATTTTATTTATTTATTTTTTATTTTATTATTTAAACTTATATGCCGCCACTCCCCTGGGGCTCGGAGCGGCTTACAAGAATAGCTAAAATCTACCAAAGTTTAAAAGCAATTTAAAACAATTTAAAAACAACAGTATCAAACATTAAAAGCCTGTCGGAACAGGTATGTCTTACATGCCCTGCGGAAAGCTGGTAAGTCCCGCAGGGCACGAACTTCAGGTGGCAGAGCATTCCAGACTGATGGCACCACTGCTGTGAAGGCTCTGCGTCTGGTTGCCGTTAGACGCAAGGTCTTGACACTGGGGACTTCCAATAGAACTTGGTCCTCAGAACGGAGGGATCTCTGGGGTTGGTAGGGGGTGAGACGATCCCTCAGATACATTGGCCCCAGACCATGCAAGGCCTTAAAGGTGAGTACCATCACTTTGAAAGTGATCCGGTGCTCAATTGGTAACCAATGCAGCTGTAATAAGATTGGTGTTATGTGGCATCTCATCGGAATTCCCGCAAGAAGCCGAGCAGCTGCATTTTGTACCAACTTGAGCTTCCGGATCACCGACAGAGGAAGGCCAATGTAGAGGGCGTTACAGTAGTCCAGTCTTGAGATGACCGTGGCCTGGATCACCGTAGCTAGGTCGTCCCTGGACAGGTAGGGGGCCAGCCGTCTAGCCTGCCGCAGGTGAAAGAAGGCGGTTCTGCTCACGGCGGAGACCTGGGCCTCCATTGTCAGCAGAGGGTCCAAAAGGACTCCCAGACTCTTTACCAATGATGACGGGCATAACGCCTCGCCATCCAGGGTGGGCAGATGGATGTCCCCACTGCCCGGTCCACCCAGCCATAGGATCTCCGTCTTTGCTGGATTCACCCTCAACCTGCTGGCACGCAGCCATCCAGTAACGGCCTCGAGGCACTGATGGAAACAATCGGGTACAGAGTCCGATCGGGAAATGACTACAGACGTTCCTCCATATCCACCAATTCTGCATCCAAGGAATCCACCATCCATGGCTTGAAAATAGTTTCTTAATATTGCAATAAACAAAACTTGAATTTTCTTGATTTTATAGAGGGATCACTATTTTACCATGTCATTGTATATAATGAGACCTGAGCATCCACAGATTTTGGTATTCATAGGGTCCTGGAACCACACCCCAACAGATACCAAAGCTTCATTTTATTCCCAACAGCAAAGCAGAAAATATAGTAATACACACGGAAAGGCAAAATACAAAGTATCAAAATTGTTATCCATTTCAAAAGCATCTCGTAACAACTCACTAGTCATTTTTTGTGTCAATTAACCTCCCATATTTCTACTAATGCATCTAAAATTTATCTATTTAAATCTTAAGTGTTTCCCAACTTTGTGGTTCAAAGTGGCTTACAGAAATTGAAACAGACTGGAGTAAAAGCTAACATTACTTGGATGCAAAAAGTGACATATATTTCAGAGGGCAATAATATAGTGAGGAAAACATTGCATTGATGACAGGAAAAGTGGGCTTGAAATTTGACTCTTCTGATAGATTCATCACTAGGCAAGGGCTATTTTTTTATGATTTTCAACATGATTACAATTTCTCTGCTCTGAAAGCAAAAAAGATGATAAAGTCAGTTGAGAAACAGATTCTTGTATTTCAGAGACTAATTCTTTGGCCTTAGAGTTAAGAAAGACAACTGAGGGGGCCTTCATCACTTCTTCCTTTCAAACCAGCTCCATATTGCAATTTCCCAGGCCCATGTACTGAGCTTCAGGATCCCTTATTATTGCTGTTGTTATGTATCTTCCAATTGGATCTGACTTATGGCAACCTTCTCATTGGAAATATTTATTTCAAAGAGATTGGCCACTGCCTTCCTATTAGACTGAGGAAGTGACTTATCTAGGGTCACTAATCAAACTTCCATGATGAAGCAGGGATTTAAGCCATTATTTTCCAGAGTCCAAGTCCAATAACCAAACCACTATACGCATGTGTATAACCACTATACGCATGCTTATAATCATGCTTATAATCATTGTTTTTAAAATTTAGTCATAACTGCAGAGGAAGAGCAGTGACCCAGGATAGCACTGGCATGCTTGTGAGTTTCCTGGAGAAAGAGTGGGAAAGTCCATAAGAAAGGACAATGAGTCAGACAAGTCATGTAAACAATTCACAAAACAGCACCTGTTGCTTGCATGCTTCCTTTAGGATGTTCCTAGTGGTGTCCGTTTCCCTTCAAACAATAAATCCCTCCCCCTTCATATTTGTTTGATTTTTTTTCAAAATGCCATCCATTGTTAAACAGAAAAACAGTTTCAAAGTTTTGATTTCATTTTTCCACTTCATTGAGTTGGTCAAACTCTACAGAGTTTGAAAGGCTATGTAGAATCATATTAGCAGCTGCGTTGTCTTGAAAATAATGAAAGAACAAAAAATTGCTCGGTGTAATTGTTTAATCATAGAGGAAAAGATAGGTGTGGATTTTTTTATTGATCCCAATAATACAGTGACTACTGGGTGGGCGCATGGAGGCATTCCACAGGTGGGTTACTTTACCTTAAGTGTATACACAAAACTGAAATACAACACTGTCTGAGCTCTGCAAGTGCAGCTCTTTTAGAATGAAACAGAGTGTTTGAGGATCTGAACATTCGTAAGGGATACCAAGATGCATGTTTACAAAGTTATTGTCCTGCTAACCCTGCTATACACCTGTGAAATGTGGACTGTGTACAGATGTCACACCAACTTCTGGAATGATTCCATCAACGTTGCCTCCAAGCAATCCTGCAAATCTCTTGGAAGATAGGTGGACAAATGTCAGCATGCTGGATGAAGAAAAGACCACCAGCACTGAAGCAAAGATCCTTTGCCATCAACTTTGCTGGACTGTCCACATAGTCCAAATGCCCAGTCGTCATCTCCCAAAGTAGTTACTATACTCTCAACTCAAAAACAGAAAACAATGTTGGTGGGCAGGAAAAGAGATTTAAAGATGGGATTGAAGCCAACCTTAAAAACCGTTGCATAGACATCGAGAACGGTGAAGCTCTGACTCACCGCCAAGAACCTACACTTGGAAGGCAATCATACTCAGCCATGAGGGATCACCTGTGATGATGACACAAAACTGGGAAGGGAAGGGTGACACAGCCAGCAACCAGGAATATTCCAATTATTGCCATTGTCAGTCTAGAGTTCATCAGTGTCCTTATGCTTTCCCAGAACAAGAAGTCTGAAGAAAGTGAGCAATTGCACCCCACCTCTCTGCATATACATTGCAAATCATAGAACCTAGGAAAGGAACAATTGCCACTGAAAACTGATACTTCCAAAACTCTATATGCAATGGAAAACCTTAAGAGCCACATGAAAAGATATCCTTGGCCAACATAATCTCAAACCTCCTATTGCTTAAGTGAATAGCTGGTTCTGTCCATGAAGATAAACTGACCTCATGGCAAACAATGTTACCTAGCTTAGCAAAGGACTTCTAAGCATTGTGAACCAGAGTATTGTCAAAAGAAGCAAATAATTTTGAAGACCCCAAATAAGCTCTTGTTTACCTTTACTTGTTCGTGACAAGAGGTCTCATTGTTCAAACTGGCTTGTATAAATAATAGGATAGATTTCTGACATAGGAGACTAAATAGAACAGAATACTTTACACTAAAACAGATCAATAATCCCCCTGAGTCAACATTGACTTTCCATGATGTCATGTAGCAATCTTTCCAAGATCTCAGGTCTGTTTCCTGAGAATCCCTTTAAATGAGGCATTCCTAATCCGGAACTCTTCAGTACATTATAGATTCCACTGCTGCATTTTTAATGCAGCCAAAGGAATATCAAAGGAATATGGTGCATTGATAATTTGGAATAGCCATGGGCTATGATTTCTGGATAACATGATTTTAAATATGTGGTTTTAA